GTCCGCTGCCAGCCGGGGAAAACCCCAGCCGCAATCCCGAGCGAGATCCGTCCGCTGCCAGCGGCGGAAAACCCCAGCCGCGATCCCGAGCGAGATCCGTCCGCTGCCAGCGGGGGAAAATCCCAGCCGCGATCCCGAGCGAGATACGCCCGCTGCCAGCGGGGAAAACCCCAGCCGCGATCCCGAGCGAGATCCGCCCGTTGCCAGCGGGGGAAAACCCCAGTCGCGATCCCGAGAGAAATCCGTCCGCTGCCGGCGGGGAAAACCCCAGCCGCGGTCCCGAGCGAGATTCGGCCGCTGCCAGCGGGGGAAAACCCCAGCCGCGATCCCGAACGAAATCCGTCCACTGCTAGCGGGGGAAAACCCCAGCCGCGATCCTGAACGAGATAAATCCTTGTTTTGCGAATGCCGGTCCCCGCGTTGCAGCCGACCTGGCCGGTCGGCTGGCCGGACAGCCACCTGACGCCCCATTTTGCTCGCCCAGGGTGCGCGCTTGCGGTTTCCGGGTGATTGGCGTGACCCTTAGCGGACTGTACGAGGTCATGTTCTCCATGAGGCGTTCTGGGGCGTGTGGACCTGATGGCGTTTGTATTCGTGTCCGGCCCCTCTGTTTTGACGTCATCGGCCCTAGCCTTCCCCCATCTCATCAACATCCGCCTCACCTTCTGCGATTTATCCGATTCCTGGAAGCACTCCCTGGTTCATCCTATTTTCAAATCCGGAGGTCCAACCCTGGTCTCCAATTACCGTCCTACTTTCATCGCTCCTACCATGGCTAAGATTGTCGAGCGTGTGGTGCAGCGCCGGGTGTCCAACTACATGTCCAACAATCATCTTCTGTCCTCATCCCAGCATAATTTTCGTCCCCATTCCACTGAGACTGCTCTTCTCACCGTGACCAACCGCATCTTTTCCAACATAGATTGTGGTCATCTTTCACTCCTAGGCCTCTTGGATCTCAGTACACGTTTCAACGTCATTTTTCATTCAATTCCTTTCCAACCTCCAGCTCTATAACATTGACTCGGCTTGGTCCTCTTACCTACGTATGACTGACTGGGAATGACCCATCTTCTCGCCATTCGCAGTCAGTCTGCATCTCTTCTTATCCTGGACCGGAGGATAAGAAGAGATCCAGACTGACTCTGCGGTTTACAGGCCTTATCCTTCCCCATATTATCAGCATCCGCCTTACCTTCTGCGATTTACCCGATTCAGAAGACAGAGTGGTCCCCAAGCTCTTCCCCCAATACCATGGGAACCTTCCAGGGAGCAGCCCTCAGTCCTCTTTTATTCACAACTTCGCCAACAACCTCAGCCTGCACGTGCCAGATGCTAATGCGACACAGTGCGCTGACGACACTCGGACGCTTATATCAGATGTTAAACGCAACCTTCCTTCCCTCATCCAACGCATGGAAACCGCCCTCTCCTCGCTAGCATCGTGGATTTATGTCCACGTTCTCAAGTTCGACGCATCCAAAACAGGAGTTCTTCCCCTTGGTGCCAGACAGAACATCCGCGGGCTTTCCCCTGTTAGCGCACGGGTCGGTGCGGCAACCGGTCGGGACAGCCTGACCGTGACGAGCTTGGTACGCTATTTGGCCGCCACCTGAGCTGGAACGCACACTCAGTGATGTAGTAGCAAAGCGCATCGGCGTCCTGATCGGTATCCGCCACCGGAGACATTTCTTCCCGCAACAAGTGCTGCTGACCATGGTGCAGGGTCGAGTCACCTCGCGCGTGAAATACTGCATTTCAGTGCATGACCAGGGGTCGGTTGTTAAGGAGGCCAGAGTGCTTCGAGTCGTTAACTTCATTGCCAGAGTAGTTACTGGCCTCCCAAAGAATGACCATGTGTCTCGCGCACGGGATAACCTGCACGTTGCCACGCCTCGCCAAATGTGTGAAATACAGACTGATATCGCTGTGCATGAACCCCGTGAGTGAAGTAAGCCTGCAGGTCTTGCCTGTTTGTCTCAAGCATACGCTGATACGCAGACCAGTGGCCGATCTTCCTGCATGGATCATAACCTGTGCCCTCCGGCGGTGCACACAGCGGCAGAACAGCGGTCCTTTGCATAACGAGCGGCGTCTCTCGTGAATGATTTCCCTGTGGATGTTAGACAACGGGGTTCAACGAGTGTAAAGTGCGCTGCTAAGTGTTTTTTTTTCGTGCGACAGGGTCGTCATACTGCTTGTGCGTGCATGTGTATATATTCTCACTTCTCATTTTGTGTGCCACCCGTCCAGGATTGGTGGGACCCGAGCGGAACGTAGGACGGCGAGTGAGCCGGGCATGGTCAGGAATCCCCCTCCCGCCAAACCAAGGACAACCTTTAGCGGGGCCTGAGAGCTGAATGCGGGCCCGCCCGACGTTCCGGCCGATCGTCCTGCATTGCTGACCGGATCTGCGGGATCAGTGTGTGGAGTAAGCCGGCCAGGTGGAGTAAGCCGCCCTCCCCCCAGAACCGCCATGACAGTAGCCCCTTCTACTGAAACAGACCATCACGTCAGCGAGGAAAGCCTGACCCCCGCTGGACTATCAAAATTTATGGACGCGGAAAGCCAGGTCACCGTCGAAACATCGTGCGCGCAGACATGTTTGTCTGACAGGAAGATACGCGCCGCTCCACCCCGAAAACCCCGCCGGCGCCGGCGCCGCCACCAACCCAGCTGACATCAGATGCACCACGCCACGTAAGAACTGGGCGAGAGGGGACGCGCAGGGCCCGCCGGAGGCAACGCAGAAGGAGAGCAAGCGGGCCTTGCACCGATGCCGGAGACGCCACGCTCTGGCCAAGGGGCACGTTGAGGGGAGAACTCTGGAAGAATGTTAGACCGGCCCGGCAACACATTGGACGGAAGGGGGCGAGGCGGCAAAACAATAGGACCGGGAGAAAACGAGGGCGGGCCGAGCCAGTTCGAAGAGTCTACCAGGAAAGCTGCCAAGAAATCTTTCGGAGAGTCCCGAGGAGTGAGGAGCGCGAAGGAGAAGGAGTTGTGACAACCAGGCGGCGACGTCGGTTTTTCCCCGTTTAAATATTATCGGCTGAAGAGGTGGAGGTAGGGTACCGTGGCTCAGGGCGCCAGCCGTGCACGGGGAGACGGACATTCACAGAGCCTGACCGGACTTACCATCCCGCTAACGCCCCGGTCATCCACGTTATCCTAGCTCTGCGGCTCACATGTGCGTGTCGATGTCGGGTGTACCGGAGTCACAACGGGCCGAGTCGTGCGCTAACATCACCTGGCTCGGATACTGACCAAGAGCTGTTCGTATAAATTCGTTCTTGTGGGGAGGCATGACAGCAGCAGGCGTCACGTGAACATCCAGCGGCGGCTCGGCAGCAACGCAGCGCGCGCACCCTTTCAAGGACCCCCTTCCCATGTGCATTTATATGCTGTTTTGCCCCTTATCATTTTCCGATGTTTTTGGACACACAGTTTTATCTCTCAGACTAATGACAACCAACAGCCACATATGTATGTGGCATGTCAGCTGACGTCAAATATAGATCATATGCATCTTCATGCCCTGCCAATAACCGTGGTGCGACCATTCAGGTGACCAATGACTTCTTTCAAGCCACCAATGCTCTGAGGGCTTTTCCTTTAGACCTTCCATTTAAGAGACCCCAAAAATTAAACGATTAGAGAAGTCAGATAAAGGGAGTTAGCCGGACAAGGGTTGTCCGGCTTTCAGGCGATGATGCGCTTTTCAAAGTGGTCTTCAAGCTCTCAGAGTCTCTCTCGACATAACGCTTTTGATAGTTGCACTTTCCGGTACGTGGTTGCTTTGCCCCCCCCCCCCCCCCCCCCCTGTTGACCGTTACCAGACGTTGGATGCAAGGACCATGCCGGCGATCTATGGAGACTGCAACGCTGATCATCGGTGTTGGTTCTCCTGGACTGCACGTGCATGTGCTTAAAACCATTTAATGCCATGAAATCGAAAGACTGTTAATATTTTGCATTACCAATTGTAACATTTGCCAATGAATTGTACACATGTCATCGCCGACAACACGGTTAGTACTGGCTACTACAAATATGGTTACCTACGTATTAATGTAGTTAGCTCTGGCACTTGACAGCTGCAGACCGCCATCTGTCGGCTTTTTTGCAGCTTTTTTACATTGTATGCTATGTTACTAATGGTCTGGGTGGTAAGTTCCATGTGCAATATGGTACCTGGCGCTGAGGCTTGAGAGAGCTGGTTGGTAACAGGCTGCAGAAATAATATTGTTTGCTGCACTGCACTTGCTACGTTCAAACCACTAACTTGCTACTAGTCTACACTACATGGACCCATTTTCCATACTGTGATATATATATATATATATATATATATATATATATATATATATATCTATATCTATCTATATCTATATCTATATCTATACCTATATCTATCTATATATATACATATATATATATATATATATATATATATCTCTCTCTCTCTCTCTCTCTCTCTCTCTCTCTCTCTCTCTCTCTCTCTCTCCCTCTCTCTCTCTCTCTCTCTCTCTCTCTCTCTCTCTCTCTCTCTCTCTCTCTCTCTCTCTCTCTCTCTCTCTCTCTCTCTCTCTCTCTCTCTCTCTCTCTCTCTCTCTCTCTCTCTCTCTCTCTCTCTTTCTCTCTCTTATATCTGACACAAAACACAAGACCAAACTGTTGTCGAATATAATCATGAAATATAGCCCAAGGCAACGAACCAGAACTGAACTGGATCTTTGGTTTTGGAAGCCGCGTGAGTCATAAGCCAAAATATTCAACGCATGCAATGCATCTGAAATAAGTTGAATCAAAGAAATTGGAATGAACCCCAGTCATGAGTTGAATCTGGTCCTAAAATATTAAAGCCAGTCCTGAGCCAGCTCAAAAAAATTGAGTCGAACACGGGTATCGATGGTGATGGGAGCCTCGCTGTATATTCTGTGGGCACTAAGCTGTGAACTGTAAAGTAACCTCCATCTGCTGGTCGGCGTATCTCTGACCTGCCCGACCCGCCAGCTGGCTCGGCGTCCCGCGCCGCGGGTCACCCAGCTGGCCAATCAGCGTCTCCGTGCTTTGCCAGTACTTTTCGCCGATGGCGCTGGTACACTTCAACTTCATGATGCCGTCCCGGAAGAAGTTGTGCCGCACCTGTGAAGAAACGGGGCAATGGCATGCGTTACAAGATCCACTAAAAGGGAGTGTCCCACATTCGGTGCGCATTTGCGCAATAAAAGCTTCATGTTTGCATGCCTTTTTGTTTAAACGGGGTGTTTCCAGCTTTCGTAGCATTAATCACACAAATTTTGACAAATAAGTGTGTTGCAAACATTACAGAGCACACGTTGGAACAAGCAAGGCAAGTGAAATGAATTACTTCCACATTAGTTAGCACAGAGTCAAGTGAGATTTCTTCCGCAGAACAGGCTACTACAAACCGAAATTCTGAGCTATTCAGAAGAATTTCGAGAAAACTGATGTTACTAATAAAAGTGAACGAGTCTGATCTATCAAGCAGTAAGAGAGAGCTACACAAAAGGTGGCATCCTCCCTTGAAGTACATACAACGAGGTGCCGTTACATCACAAGGGAACACCATATCCTACAGCCATGCAAAGTCCTGTTGAACTGAGTTAGTCACCATTGAGAAAGTGTGAGCTTAGGCCACGAAAGGCCGCTTAGCTATACCTCTATTGGTCATATGCTATGTGCAAAGGGCAAGAATCTTCAACATTTGTCATGGTTTGGCATGGGTAGTCATGGCTTTGACACAATTGCGAAACACTGAACTTCTTCCTTGTAAGGGCTTAGTTCAACTTCTATTGGTCATAGATAGTGGGCAACTGGTGAGGATATTCCATATTTGCCATAGTTTCTATTTTCCCCCAAAAGTAAGCGAACCTGGTCGCAAGAAAAATTGTGGTATAGTTTCAAGAAAAGCGGGACGTTCACACATATGCTCCTGAATTTCTTATCCTTCTCCATTTGCAAGTTGAACACCCTGCTGTTACCTTTGAGGACAGCTCGGTACGGATCCTGTCTCCTGTCAGACATTGCTGCCACGTTCCACTCAGGAGCAAAGCGAATGTGGGATGTTTTACTCTCCATCTCGCGGAGGTTCGCATTTCGGCTACCCTCTGGATCAGCTCATCGGTACATTGAGTGCAAGGGTTTTCCCAGCGTGTACGGCTTGTGACCTTGCACTGATTGGATCGGGACACCGAATTTTTTACTATCGTCGCCTGCCTCGTGTGCCATGGTGTCGAAGGCTTCTGCTATAAAAGATGCTTTCAGCATTGACGCAAGAAGTTGCAGACAATGCTTGAATATTCTTCGGTGCGTCAATAAGCGCACCGGTCACTAGCAGACGTCGCCCCCCCCCCCCCCTCCTCTGCCCATCAGCGTGCGCTCATCTGAACAGTCGTGAGGAAGGCCTTCACGGTTACGGTTAATTGCAATAAAATCATGGATGAAATGAACGATCATGACAATAAGCGCAAGAAACAATCTCATCCCTTTTGTCATATAATTACAGGACCCATTGCTGCTAATAACTGTACCAACGGGAAACTGGTTTCATACTAAATCTGAACGGAAAGCAGGATAAACGGGAGGTGAAGTCTATCGTTTGTCATATTTTCTATCAGAATAGCTGGCAAACGTTAATCCAAAAGTGCTTTTGTGTTGTTATCATTTAACATTCGGTTAAATTTTAGTTCCTTGGGAGCATATTACAAAGAATTGTGAAGGCGAAATAACGAATAATACGTGACGATGAAACAAAGGCATTTCAGCAGGACAGCCGCGGATATTCCTGATGAATAACCGAAGCATTTTATTTACAGTTGTTCTGATAGTCCTGACGAACAATCGTGCGGGAAAGGAAAGGGTGCACCCAGACACCGAAAGACTCCGGCAATCATTCACGTGGTTACCGTGAAATGAAAGGCCTTATTTGGCGCACTATTCTTTCTTCAAAGAAGCAGGACACTTGCGCGTTACAAACGAAAGCCCAACCTTAATAAGGTCACTCCAGGGTTGTGTTGTTGCCGTGAACGAGAAGAAAAGCTGAGGCAATTTCACACCATATTTTCATTGCATGTAACTTCACGCCAACTTACGATGACAGATAGCTACAGGCTCTCCGGCGGATGCTGAGCGCCTCCAAACTCAGGAGGGCTTATTATGTCGCTCTCGTATTACATGTGTCTCGTATATGTGTACGTATCTATACATGTGTATAAATGAGGTGTCCCGTCGTAACTGACTGCGCCCAACGCAGCAGCCAATGAAAAGGAGCCCAGATGTCCGCTGTGACATTGAATTGGAGCGAGGATAAGTGATAGCTATGCGGGCATCGTGATACAAAAACATTCACTTTGGCGAGGCTTTGCATCAATGGCATTGTTTCATACTTCGTTTCTAATCTTCCTTCCGACATTTGCGTGCGTCACGCGAGTCAGTTTGTGTGCACACAATGAAACATGCACACAGGGTCAACTGTGCAGGCTACTGTGACGCATTTTTAAGGTAGTGCTTGGGCACTGAATGATTTCGAACGATGCCGGGAGTATAATGTCAGCCGTTTATGCAGTACATGGCATCTCAACAAACTTTCAGCATGCACAGTTCTTCGGATGCCTGCTGGAATCCATGCACGAGGGCGTGAGCCACATCAACAACCAATCCAAGCCATCACCAACGGCATTGATGACATCCCCACTGCTAGACAGAAGCCACTGGAAGCCTGGGAGCGTTTCGTGTTCTTGAAGAACTCGCAAGTTCGTTGACCTGTTTGCCGGACAGGACAGGACAGGACAAAAGTCCGCACTACGGGGCATAGTCTGCGGCCACGCGTCCGCAACGCTCGACCCGTTCTGGGAAATGAACCTGTCGATCCCCTCCATAGCAGGCCAGGTGAGGTTACAGGATTGCCTTGACCTTTTCAACAAAGAAGAGGTGCTTGACGGAGATGAAAAGCCTACCTGCTTCATTTGTCAGAAACATTGGGGGTGCTCCGAGGACTCCCTAATTCAAAGGTTCCCAAGCGCCATTGTAGTGCACCTGAAGCGGTTCTTTCTACAGCATAATCAAAACATACACTAGCTTAATACCACTCTTGACCTCTCCGCCAGTGGTCTGGCGCCATACTCTGCCGTACAGGAGGACTTTCATTACAACCTACACGGCGTAATCAACAATTCTGGCGGGTTGCACTCGGGCCACTAAACGGCCCAATGCTAGCACCTTTTTTGAGAGAGTGGTGTGGGTATCATGATTCTCAGGGTCCAGCACATCCATATGCGCCGCTCCAACAGCTGTGCGCCATCCTGACAGTGTTGTGAGGCATGCTGAGGGTGCTGTGAACCGTGTGGGGTGCCGACCCTCTAGCATTTGTACGCAATTTCGTCTTATCGGGTTCTATCTAGCTCTGAGGAAGATGCTGAAAAAGTAGAGCAACTGAATCCAAACCGGGAAGCTCAAAAGGAAACTCAGGTCAGAGGGAAACGACTTCGGCCAGGGTCTCCTCAATTGCCGGAGGGGGACAGGAGTCCTGAACAGTTAGATCTGCTCATGAACGGCGCAGAGAACACGTAGATTTCTGAGCGGTCGATACGACCCCTGGGCGTTCAAAGAGCCTCTGAGTAGTCTGAGGCCCACCAGTGTTCAGCAGGGACTTTATAAAGCCTGAGGGATACAGCCTGAGTTAGGCAGGGGGGAGGGTGGAGCGTCAATTCAACCCACCTAAAATTCTCAAAATTAACTAGACACCGAATTTTCGGGGAGGGTAGGCCTGCATGTGACGTCTACTGCGTCCAATTTGGAGATCCTTACGTCATGTCTTATGGTCCAACCATGTCAAACAAGGTCAAACTCCAGATCAGTGTCCGAAGTGTCCTAAGATCTTCTTACACGCCCATTCTTAACCGCATTACCTGTTCTCAGGGAAACAAAATTTAATTTCAATTCGGGTCAGTGACCTTGTTTAACCGTCGTAAGATCATAGTGACCAAAACTTCAAGATCGTTTTGATATTTTTTGTTTTAATAAACGTCCAGGATTCCTTGAGGCGGTATGTTTCCGAAAACAAATGGCTCATCAGGGTCATTTTAGACTAATGACCTGCTCTGATCTTTAAGACATCTGAATAACATATCTACTGACGCCACCACGACAAAGACATTCGAGATGAACATAAAGCAACCCCGTAAAGCAGGCACTAAGGGAAATGAGCATTTGGTTCTGACCTCCGTCATTCCTGATCCACGGGTGTATGGATTAAGTCGTAATCCTAAAGTCAATTGTGCTGTTGCCTCAAGATGTGTCGATTCGTCTGACGCTCCGTTATCGTATCAGGTTGAACGATTCCCTACGAGTTGCCTTCGCTAACAGAAATAGCCTGACTCGGGTCTGCCGAAGACCAGCGGTCTTACAAGCTACATCTGATCTGATATCACAACATTGGCTTCTCAACTGTCTACACTTTTAATGTTTGACGCCGATACGATACGCCGTTCGGTAAGTGTTTTGGACAAACCTCTGCGTGCGAAAACTGGCCCTTCACTCTGTCGCGTTTTGAACGACCAGTACACAACTTCACGGCTTGGGCAATCCGCAGATTGCGGGTCTATTCGCGAGCCGTCATGCACGGGACCGATTCAAATGTTTCCATCAAGACCTGGATTATGACCGGACCGGATTTTCCAATTTGCCCCTCACACATAGCACTATAAGATGACAGGTCATGACGGGGAATGGCGGGCGACACGCGCCTTACTCTCGTACCACGTTTTGATATTACGGTAGAATCAAATATTTGTATTTGAGGTGCGCGCGGCGCACAAGGCGCTACACAGCGTGATTAAAATTCATCGCCAGCTAACGAAGTAATTGTGGCACCTTTCTAAGCACGTTGAAAAATGAACTGAATGCAAAGTGATGCACCATTGCCAATGGTATTTTGACCAACGGAAGGTGATTGATCCAAAAGCGACTTTGACCGCTACAATGTGGTGGTACTTGTGAATTATTGGCCGAGATAATTATGAGGTCATTAACAATATGAGGAGCCTTGATATTTGTTGTATTTGTTGTTATAATTGTTGGCTTTGATATCCATACAAAATTGCTTTCCCAACAGGCAACAAGCT